GAGCATGTTTCTTTCTCTGTTTTCCACTAACTTTCACTGAGTGACTATTGGTTCTCTCAGCCTGCCTGCACCTGACCCCATAAAAATCCTTTAAAAGGGGTGAGAGGAAGCATTGACCTAGACCAGTATAATTTTTTCCTTTTCCTTTTTTTTTTTTGTGTGTGTGTGTGTAATTTGGTGTTTGAAATTCCCTAGTTTGCTTTGTATTTTAAATGTTAGGTGTACTATAAATTCCAAGGATATCAGAAAAGCCACATTTGGCTTTTGACTCGCAAGTAGATAAGGCATGTTTTATGGACCCTGGGCCTGTGGGATGCGGCGGGAGGTCAGCTGAATGTTTGGGGAGAAATAGCTTATTGTTTTTATTTTTATGACAAAAAGGATAGGTGAGTGGCAGCAGACACTGCAGATTGGCAGCCATAGCTCTGTGCTGGGTCATGGCTGTGGGACTTGACAAGGGCCACAAAGGGACCAAGAACATAAGCAAGATAAGGCATTGCTGCTGCCGCAGGTGCAGCAACAGTACACAAAGTTTATGGGGACCAGAGGTGTGTGCCTTTGTGCTGCACCAGCAGCTTGCCTTGGAGCTGCACAAGTTCTCCAAGGACAAGTGGGTTTTCAAGTTCATCAAGAAAAGGGTGAGGACAGGCATCTACACCAAGAGGAAGAAAGAGGTGAACCATGTCTGACCCCAGGAAGAAAGCAGCTGCCAAGGTCTGAGCCCCTCCCCTTTCTGTGCATGATAAAACCTTTACAGAGGAAGAAAATCATCCATATTTATTTACTTTATACATCTGTAGCAACTGACTCCGTGCATGAGTAACTCAACAGTCCCTACCTGCAGAGTATCTATTGCTTTTTACCCCAGAGCATTTCCATTGTGTTGGTATGGGACATCAATGGGAACTCATTTACTTATATCCAGTTTGGAAGTGGAAGTTGTTAAAAATACTCCTGGGGGCTGGGGATGTGGCTCAAGCAGTAGTGGGCTCGGTGTGGCCCGGGTTCGATCCTCAGCACCACAAACAAATAAAGATGTTGTGTCTGCCGAAAACTAAAAAATAAATATTTAAAAAAACTCTCTCCTTCTTTAAAAAAAAATATACTCCTGGTTTAGGGGGACTCATTGGCGTATGAGTCCTAACTGCCTCTTGCCTCTTCTTCTGTGTGTTGGGACCATGAATCTGTTCCCTGGGTTGAAGCCCCCGCAGGGTACTTCCAGAACCTCAATTTGGGAGGCTGAGGCAGGAGGATTGCAAGTTCAAAGCCAGCCTCAGCAACTTAGCAAGGCCCTCTGCAATTTAGGGAAACTCTGTCTTAAAATTAAAAAATGAGGGGACTGGGTATGTGGCTCATGGTAAGCATCCCTGGTACCAAAAAAAAAAAAAATTTTTTTTTACTCCTGACTTAACCATTTATGTATGATGGGTCAAAATGCATTCTACTGTCATGTATAATTAATTAGAACAAATAAAAAATATATTAAAAAATACTCCTGGTTTCAACTTTTCTCCAACGAGGTATGAGAATTATTGGATAAATGTTCCCTTTGTCTCTTGGGAGGACATTCCCAAAGTATATTCTTAGAGTTCCTTAGAAGATCCTGGGTGGGGGTGGAGCCCATAGCTGGATCAACCCAAGAATACTCTGGGGGGCTGGGTGAGGTGGAGCATACCTGTAATCCCAGTGACTCAGGAGGCTGAGGTAGGAGGACAGACAGGTTGGAGGACAGCCTGAGCAACTCAGTGAGACCCTATCTCAAAATAAAAATAAAAAAGGGCTGGGGGCATAGCTCAGTGGTACCCCTGGGTTCAATCCCCAGTACCAACCAAAAAAATAGAACAAGACTGTTCTTCGGATTAGCTGTCCCTCTTTCACTCTTCTTGGGTTTTGACTCCATTTCCTAGAATCACTTTTCCAAATAAACTAGTTGCCTGCAATCGCAGGGATCAAGTTTTGGTTCCTGGGGGAACTCTGGCTAGGACAACATGAATGGTAGAAAATTAGAAGGTGTAGATAAAGAACTCTAAAATCACGAACAATCCTGTTTTCTCTAGAGATCTCTTCTGTTAGAATTTAGGAATTCTAGAAAAGGAATATTCTTCCTTTTAAAATGCACACACAATAAAAAAAAACCCCACAAAGGGGATCATACTGTATTGCTAAGGCTTTGATATAGTTTGTGTCCCTAAGGGTTCAGATTTAATCTGCAATGTGAGGGGTTCAAAGCTAGAAACCCAATCGACTGTGGTGTTCAGAGGTGGGGCCTTTGGAAGGTGATCAGGATTACAGCCATTAAGGTGGAGGCCCCCACAATTGAATCTTGGTGACTAAACAAAAAGAAAGAGAGATCAGAAGAGATGTACATAGAACAACATGTTCCCTGCCTGGTGCCATGGAATGTCACCTTCTGCAAGGAAGAAGACCAGAGTTGGTCCTGAGACCTTTGACCTCCTATTGGGGCAGGCCAAAATGGCTATAATTACGCTCGCTCCCTGGCTGAGGCTTCTGGTGGGCTATGATAGGTTTTTAGTGTGTAGCCAGGGCTGGGAACCAGCTCTGTTATGGTTAGTCAAGGTCAGACAAACTGTGACTCAGTGTATAGACTCAAGGTCGTAAGCATTAACTTGTGAGCACGTGCCCCCTTAGGTAGCCTGCTGGCAGTGTGCCTTCTTTTTGGTCTGCAAAGGGGCCGTGGAAAAGCCTCAGGGACTCAATGGGGGCAAAATGGGACTGGCTGGAAGCCTGAGCCTGTGGCCACCTCTGAATAAAGCATGTCTACTATTCTAACTGCCTCTTGCCTCTTCTTCTGTGTGCTGGGACCACGAATCTGTTCCCTGGGTTGAAGCCCCCCCGCAGGGTACCTCCAGAACCACAAGCCCAAATAAACCTCTTTTCCTTAAAACTTACCCTGTCTGGGGGATTAGGTTATTAACATCGGAAAACCAACTAGCATATAGATAATTGATATGTATCCTGTCTTTTCTTTTTTAAACTTTTGCTATATTGTGAAAATCTTCATGTGATGATGACATTTTCTTCAATGGTGTGAGATTTCATAGCTTCACAGTATCTCATTTACAGTACTTATTCATTACATAGTAAACAGCGGCTACAGCCCAAATGTAGTTTGGTTTCCTCATCTGTAAAGTAAAAACACAGAAAGGAACAAACTAGGTCAGACCTCTGCTCATATGCAGCTGGCCTTATGGTCAGGATCTTTCTTACATTCTAATGGAGCATAATTATTTACCCAACATCTCATTGTAGACTATTTAGCTTTCAGTTTTCAGTACTATAAACATTCAATAAACATTCACTTATTCTCGATTTTCTGCTTTTGGGATACTTTTTTTTTTTTTTTTTGTACCGGGGATTGAACTCAACCACTCAGGGGGACACTCAACCACTGAGCCACATCCCCGTTCCTATTTTGTATTTTATTAGGACACAGGGTCTCACTGAGTTGCTAAGTGCTTTGCCATTGCTGAGGCTGGCTTTGAACTTGTGATCCTCCTATCTCAGCCTCCTGAGCTGCTAGTATTACAGGAGTGAGCAACAGAGCCCGACTGGAAAAATTCTTTTTTTTTTTTTTTTGGTACCCGAATTGAACCCAGGGTCTTAACCACTGAGCCACATCTTTCTGTATTTTATTTAGAGGAAAGTCTCACTGAATTGCTTGGGGCCTGGCTAAATTGCTGAGGCTGTCTTTGAACTCACAATCCTCCTGCCTCAGCCTCCCCAGCGGCTGGCATTACACGCGCCACAGCTGGGCCAAATTCTTAAATTCTTAGAAGTGGAAATGCTGAAAGAAAAGGACCCACGTAAATGACTACTGGATTGGTTTATCTGCCCTGGAGCCAAGGCTATTAACATCCATGCTATTAATATCATTACAGTAAAATAAGTCATGGTAACCAGAGGTTGGTACCTGGTTCCTAGATGGCTTAGGGATGTGGGCTGAGTGACTTAATGATTAACAAGTTAGGTCTAGAGTCCTTCTCTCTCTCTCTCTCTCTCTCTCTCTCTCTCTATCTCTATCTTTCTTTCTTGATTTCGGACAAGTTTCTCAAGCTTTTTTACTTCGGTTTTTCTCACCTGTAAACTGAGAGCAATAGCTCTCATCTCAGAGGGCTGCTAGTCATTCCTACATGTTTATTCAGTGCCTACTAATCCCAGCTTCCAAATTAGGAGTTGTCAATCTAGAAGGGAAAGGATGTATTAATACTCACAGAAATATAAAATTATAAAATTGCACTATGTTTTATAATGAGAAATGCAGGATGCTATGAAAATGAATGCGAGGGAGGGGCCCAAAGTTTTTTTTATTTTTATATTTTTACGGGGTTTGTAAGAGCAAGTGGGGTGTGCGTGTACATCTGGAAGATGTGTAGGCCTTGTCTGGTGGGGAGAAAAATTCCCTGCCCAGAAAAGGGCGGGTGCAAAGCATTTTCAAGACGGATGGAACCGTGCGCCACTTTCTTTTCCACCTAATGCTCTTGGAGTTGTGTGATTCCCTCTCGAAATTTCTCTTGAGGTCTGATAGTCCCATGGCTGTTTTTTTTTTTTTTTTCCCCTTATTTAGCTCTTAGTTGAAATGCCATTTCCTTAAAGAGGCCTCCACCAACCGTCCTCCATCATGCATCCCCTCCCGTGGTCAACCACTTTTATTACTTTTTCCTTCCTAATACTGATTCAAACATTCATATTTGTTTAAAATCTTCCCTCCCACTTGAATGACAATTCCAAAAAGTCAGGGATATTTGGGGGCAGGTAGATTTACACGCTAAATTCTCAATGCCTGGCGTATAGTAGTTGTTCAGTGCATATTTCTTGAATGAAGGGAAACGATTGGCGCAAAGTCCGGCCTTGGCAAATGTGGTTCCCAGTAAAAGCCGAAGCATCCGGGCCACCCCCCGGCAGAGCGAGGGGGCGTGGCTGGGGCGTGATCGCCGCCCGGAACCTAAGAGCCGCACCCGCAGCGGTTTCCGGCCGCGGCGGACACTTCCCGCGGAGGGACTGTCCCGTGGCACCTGGCGGGGCTGAGGAGGACACGGAGGCTCCGGAGCAGCGACAATGGACGACCACAGCCTGGAAGAGTTCCGTCGGCGCTGGCAGGAGGAGCTGGCGCAGGCCCAGGCGCTGAGGAAGCGGCGGCGGCCCGAGGTGGCTCCCGGCCGCGGCGAGCAGGCCTCGGGGTACCTGGCGTTGGCCCAGGGCCTCCTGGAGGGCGCGGGGCGGCCCCCGACGGTGCGGGCGACCCGGGCCGAGAGGCAGGACGCGGCGAGCCGTTCCCGCTCCCCTCCCGTCCGCGAAGCCGCGGGGGGCGGGGAGCAGCTGGTGGATCAGCTCATCCGCGACCTGGTGAGTGGCGGTCGCCTGCTGCCGAGGCCCCGGGCCTGCCCCCGCTCCGGAACTAACCACTCAGGAGTTGTAAAGCAACTTTCTCTGTGGGCCACCGTCTGGAAAAAAAGTAAAATAAAAAAGAGTAGTCGTGTACTCACCTATGTTCGTGTGTGCATAGGGTGCAGACCCGAGGCTGCTTGGTCCCCAGATTTGTCAGTGTCTGCAGACATCTTGGGGTGCTTCAGTGGGTGTGAGCGCGCAAGCTCCTGGACATCCAGTGTTTGCTCGCAAACGTCCTACGATGCATAGGATAGACCCACGAAAAAATTAGCCGCCCAAAATGTCAGTAGGAGTTCGAGAACTCAAGAGTAGATACCTAACTTTTTAACAAAGGCTGTCTTTGGAGAAAGAGGGCCTAGGAAATGGATAGGAAAGAATTGAACTCTGGGGCATTTGACCCCTGAGCCACATTCCCAGCCCTTATTTTGTATTTTATTTAGAGACAGGGTCTCGGCAAGTTGCTTAGCGCCTCCCCTTTGCTGAGGCTGGCTTTGAACTTGCGGTTCTCCTGCCTCAGCCTCCTGAGCCACAGTGAGAAAGAAATAATTGCTTTTAACTTTTCTCTGTGTACTGTTTGTCTTTATTTTTTTTTTCCAACTTCAAAAAATTAAAGTGGAAAAAGGAAGAAAAGGAGGAAAAATCCTTTAGGCAGGATCATTAGGATGGAGGTTGTTTTGAGGGGGCATGGATCTTTTGGAGAATCTGGAGGCCTGCCATAAAAATGACCCCCTTCACCAAGGTGGGAGGATCAGGACTACCTGGCACTTATCCATGGCTCCCAGGTTAAGAATTGGAAGAGGACATTAAGCTTTAATAGCCTGATTTACACGAGTTTCAAAAGAACCTACAGCTTTCCAGTTGGGAATTATTGTGTAGTGGGAGTTGTTCCAAGAATTAATGGCTTATTTTTATGTAGTGTGTAGTTTTATTCAAATAACATAACTTGTTTTTTAAAACAAATGTCTGTTTCTGTGCTCTGACTTACTTTTATTCTTTTTAATTTTTTATTTTTTTAGTTGTTGATGGACCTTTATTTTGTTTGTTTATTTACATGTGGTGCTGAGAATCAAACCCAGTGCCTCACACTTGCAAGGCAAGTGCTCTACTGCTGAGCCACAATCGCAGCCCCCTGACTTACTTTTAATACAACAATCCTGTGAGGTAGATATTAACTCTCCTTTTACAAATGAAGAGACAAAAATTCTCTGTGATTTGTCCAGGGTTACCCAGTCAACAAATAATGGGAATTGAATTTAGAGTAAGGTCTTTTGACTTCTAATTCACCAGGTTAAACTTGAGTTGGCATAAGAATTACCTGAGGCCTTATTGAAATATAGGTCCTGGGTCTTCCTCAGACCTATGAAATCAGTGGTCAGGGAAGAGAGCCCCAAATCTGATGATTAGAATGATCAGACACATTTGAGACATTGTTCTTGCTTCCTTTGAATTTTAAATCCTGATTCTCAAGGCTTTCCAGCTGTAATAGTCATAGACATTGTTCCCAAGAATAGCGGAGAAATAAATCAAGTGTGCAAAAAAAGGAAGGACCCTCCTTTGGGAAGGATCCAGGGAGCACATTCGAATCTAATATGTAGTCGGAAAAAAGCCTGCACTAATTCCCTGGGATGAGACCTGGTGGGCTTCTCTGTTCCCTTCATAGTCACCACATTAGATGAGGCAGCATCCAAGTTGGGGCATCTCTGATTTTTTAAACAATACTTCATAATTATAAATAACACAGCTACAAAGCAGTAGTTGTTCATTAAGCACTTGCATACTCTTTCCTTGGTGCTGTCTTAAGGGCTCAGAGACTTTATTCAGTTCTCCCAATAACCCTCCATGGTGGCCATTTTCAACTGCACTTGGAACTTGAGCATTAGGAAAGTACCTTGGTTAGGGTCAGTAAACCCATCCAATATCTTTGGTCTTAGAACGGATGTTATGATTTACAGAAAAAGCTTGGCTACCTGCATCAGTGGTTGCAAGCCCTACCAAGGGTCCAGACAGGTAATGCAACTGAGTGAAGCAGGCTAGGTATTGCCTCTTCAATCCTTTTTCTGCCCCAGCAGTATCTTTTTTTCAGGCATTTTGTTGTGTATTTTTTCCAGATTTTATCATAGTTTGTAGAATTTGTTTCATGGTGGCAGCTGACATTAAACATGTCAGGGTAGGAATTATCTTTCTTGAAATATGGCTCTCTTTGTTTTTGTTTTTTCACTTTTAAAAGTTTTTTTTTTTTTTTTTTAAATCACACTTTGAAGTATACCAATCATAACTGCACAGCTTGATGCATTTTGAAGAGTTCGTGAGCATGGAAGCAGCAGGCAGATTACAGAACAGCATCACCAGCTTGGCAGAACCATCCCTGCCCCCATGTGCTTTTTCACCTCAGGGTAAACACTCACCTGACTTCTAACACCAAGCTTGAACTACATTTAAGTGGAATCATACTGTGTCTACTCTTGTGCGGGGGTTCTTGTGCATAGCATTGTGAGATTGATCTATGTGAATTTACCACATTTTATTTATTCATGCTACTGTTGATGGGCATTACTGATAACTAGTTTGTTAAGAGCCAGCTTGGGGCTATTGGGAACAGCACTGCTACGAACATTTTATACATCTTTTGGTGTGTGTGTGTGTGTGTGTGTGTGTGTGTATGTTTGGAATTCACCAAGGAGTGGAATTACTAGGTCATAAAGCATGCAGGTAACAGCCTTGGTAGATATTGATATTTTCCAAAGTAGTTGTACTCTGGAAAGATTATGTTCCTTTGGGACTTCCCAGAAACTGTTCTCAGAGACTGACATAGTTGTCATGAAAGGGAAATAAAGATGGTAAACTTCACCCCCAACTTTTGGCAACTGGCTTTTACTCGTGCATCCTGTTGTGGTTTTGGCTAGTCTCTTCCACTTCAGACTTCGGTATCATCACCATAGTGAAAGCACCTAAGTTATCAGCCAAAAGTTGAGTTCCTTTTGTTGAGCAGTTGAACACACTTGGAATGTTATCTGGCTAGGAATAGGCCAGAACCGTTGATGGACAAGCGCAGCTGAAATGAAATTTAGAAATAACTCCTCCTGAGCCTGGTCTTCTTTCTCTCCCCACAAGTGCTTGGCATTGAACCCAGGGACTACCACTGAGCTCATCCACAGTCCATTTTATTTTGAGACAAAGAATTAGGCTGACCTTGAACTTATGAGCCTCTTGAATAGCTGGAATTTACACTACCTCATCTGACTTATGAGGCTTTTAATAATTGCACCTAGAAACCATCTCTGTTTAGGTAATGAGGTAGGAATATCTAAATTGGCACTTGGTTTAACATATGGTTAAACTAATGAAAGAAATGGCATCCCCCTGGTCCAAATTCCAGAGGCAGTAGACAGTTTGTTTTAGTCTTTCATCCTGTCCATAAACCCAGGCTCCTTAGGTTAGTGGAGCCACTTGAGTATGATTGCTTGGTCCCATTTTTGTTTAGGTGGCATATCAGATCTCCCCCCAACTCAAATCGTCTTAGAAAACCCAAATTGGAATCCATCAATTTATGTGACTAAAACCTCTAGGTGGTTGTGCTTGTTCTGGGTGTTAACATAATGTGACTGGAAGCCTCCTCTTAGTATGGCTTTTCCTTTGTTGGTTTTACTTGCAGCAGTCTCTCCCCCACTGGGGACAAAAATGGCCAGCATCTGCAGTCCTACATTCTACCAGCTTGTCAATGCAGGGGGAGAGTAAGGGGTGTGTTTTCTGTGGTATGCAACAGATATCATGAACCTAAGTTCTTATTGTGCCAAATTGGGTCATGTGACCAATTTGGAGCCAATTTCTGCTTAAATTGTCCAGGCTTGCATTTAGTGCCCACTCCTGAAGATAAGGGTAGGGTCAGTCCCATTTAAATCACGTTAAGAGTGGGAAGAGAAGAGAGAATGAATGTGGGGCAAGCAACTGTGGCCATTACTGATGTCCACTTTAGGTGGCTGTTTGGAGCAGCACTGTAGGACTGTTTCCTATTCATCCGTCTCTGTATACTTGTTGATCAGGTAGGTGCTGGGGCATGGGCAATCAACAGAATTGATACAGTTCCTGCCTTTAGAGACCACCTCTTCTAACTAAAAGAACAACACTAATGGAGCCAGCACAGCCTGGGTGTGGTCCTGGGCTTAGAGTCAGTGGACCAGCATTGAGTTTCAGACTGTGCTGTTGACTGGTTCTCTCCTGGTGTGGAGTCATGTGCTGGCATACCTGGAATGACTCCCCTTCCTCTTATTACCTTTTGTCTTCCTTTTAAGGCTCAGCTTGAATTCCCCCTCCTGTGTTAACTCTTCCTTGATGATCCCTTCAGTCCAAATTTCTCCACTCCCCTAACTGAAAAAGGTCTTATTGTCAGTGTCATTTTTTTTTTTTTTCATGAATTAGCAGGTCTGTACTTAGTGCATTTGAAATAGTCTGTGTATATATGTAAATTGTAACTTAGGTCATGTTTTCACTGGAAAGTTCTGATGGCTGTTAGTGTCATGGGTTCATTCATTCCACAATACATGTTAAGAGGCTTAACTAACTTATTAAATGGCTTAACTTAGTATCAGGCACTGTTCTTAGGCATCAAGGATACAGCAGTGAACAAGATTGAAAATTTATAGTCTACATTCCAGGAAAGAGGGAGCTAGACAGTTCTCAAATAATAAATGCTCTGGGAAAAAAGTGGATAGGGGGCTCGATCGGGACTGTAGTAGGGTAGGGGCTATAATTTTAATGGTGCTGTCCAGCAAGGCCTTTCTTGGGAAGATCACTTTTCATGGAAGACAAGGAGGGGAGGAAGCAGGCATGAAGAGATGTGGGGCATGGGCAATCAACATTTCACATTGACTACAGGCAGAGAACAGTAGGTGTAAAGGTTCTATGGTGGCCAGAGCCAGCAGCCTCCTGGGCGTGCAGCCCAAAAGTGACTAAAAGACCCT